CCCACTTTTAATAGTTAAATATAAAAAACGACCATTTGAAAAAAAAAATTAGCAAAACCGATTATTTTCTGAAGAAAAAGGGTCGGTTTTACAGTTGTTGTGATTTAGCGAAGTGTACGGGACTAGTAGTCCAGCCCCGTACACTTCATTTCTATTTTCCTCACGATAACAGAAATGAAGTGTATGAGACTAGTACCCGTACACTTCGCTAAATCACAATAACAGCAAAACCAACCCTTTTGTGAAGAGAATAATCGATTTTGCTAATTTTTTTTTCTAATGAGTCGTTTTTGCTATTTAAATATTGAAAACGGGTGCTTTTAAAAATTTGTCCTTGTTTTTTTCTTCCTTAATGTTTTATTTAATGGATTTGGGAGAATAAGAGTCTACAGAGACAACGGTCATTGCCTAATGGGTCAGACAATAAATGGGCCATTGAACACTTGGGATTTGTAGGCTAGCTACGGCCTGTGTACTAAAAATCCATGCGCTTCATATTGGAATGATGGGTTTTGTTTAAGTGGGGGGCTATATTAAATGGGCTTGCTCACCCGTTCAGTGATTATACAAGAAGGGCTGGGGGTGCAATTATGTCAAAACTTTGAGCAACAGATTAAGCATTAAAAATGAACTTCCATTTTCTATCGTATTCACTTATGTTTCGGAATTTTTTTTATTAGGGATGTGTCCAATAATAATACGGCATTGGAGCCATCTTAGTGTTGGGAAATAATCAAGCTATTGCTATATTCACGACTGGACTGAATACTAAAATTCTCTTCCTTTTTTTTTGTAAGTATACATATATGGAATCATATCATATTACCTTGTAATTGAACAAGTAAAGCCTTGACTTGTTTGCGTATCTATTTTATTTTTATGGTTGAGCTAGGCCCTTAAAATCTATCTACCCTTTAAAAGAGCCGGTTCTTGAAAAACTTATCCATCCCCAAAATAGCCTTTACCTCTTTTAAATATACCAAATTAATCCCGTCTAAGCCGAATCTCCCTTCCTCTCTGCCGAAGCCGAAGAGATTTTCGGTTTACCTAAGCGCCTCTCTCCGCTGAAGCCGAAGAGGTAATCCCTTACTGTTATCGCCGTCCCGCGACCTTCCAATCATCAATTTGCCAAGATGACTATTAATGCCCAAATGATAAACTCGCTGGGTCAGCAGTTTTCTAGATTTTGGCATTCAGAAAGGTATGCATACTTTGTCTTCATTCATCTATACTAAACCCTAGATCTAAGATTTAGTTATGCTTAATTCACCATATCTCCTCTCATATCTTCATACCTCTCATTTTGTTCTAAAATAATTTTGACCTAAATCTCAATTTTCCACAGATTCAAGCGACAAACCTTCAGCAGCTGTATCGCAAGTATAAAGTAAGTTTATTTTAATTGATTTCTTTTATTTTTTAGTTTTTGATTTCGCCTTTAATTTATTTTAATTTTTTTATATGATATGATTCTGATTTGGTTCAGAATCAAAAAGGACAACAAACCATTGGATGATTGTAAATTATGCAACCATAAATTTTATTTATTTAGTTGATATTTTAGACATGCAAAGAATTTCCCTTGGCTGACTGCAAACTTTGAATTATTGTTTAATTTCAAATAATTTAGAAATTAAACATAGATTATCCAAAGAATTTCCCTTGGCTGACTGCAAACCATTGGATGATTGTAAATTATGCACATTATGCATGAATGGAAATTTTTGAATACTTGTTTTAAGTTCAGATGCTTTTTTTAATTCTATGATTAATTACATATTTGACACCTCATGTTACTCTTTTTAAATTTGCAGTATGTATTTTCTGAAACTTTATTCAATGTCATGCAGTTTTATATATAGCTACAGGGAGGGATATTTTGCATAATTATTAAAGTTGTTTTTGAGGATACTTGCTCGATTTATATGTAGTACGACTACAACTTGCATAATTATTAAAGCTTTTTTTGACTTAGCAAGGCTCGATTTATATGTAGTACGACTACAACTAAATGGTCCTTCTTTGAATGCTATATCCAGCTTATGATAACCTTGTCGTGTATTTGTTAAGCTTAAGATTTTAAATTATTTGAATACTTGTTTTACCATCAGAGTGATATTTGAATACTTGTTTTACCATCAGAGTGAATTACTTCTTTGGATCAGAAATGTGTTTTAGATTCAGACATATTTGTCTCCGCATTTTTAGTCATAATAAATCTTCTTAAGTGTTTGATTAACTGTTTATGGAGAAGCATGAGTAGCGTGTGTGTCAAATGTTGGAGTAGTTGGAGCATGGTTCTTATCATAACCTTATAGTTGGAATCAATAATATCCAAATCCAAATCTATACACTCGCTTTACCACTAATTTTTAATATACATGTATGGTTGGATCACATTATTGCGCTGGTGCGCTCAAAAAATTACTACAAAAACAAATATCTTTAAAAAAGAAAAATGACTTGCTATTCCATCTAGATTGAAAAGTGTTCCAATAGAACAGAAAGTACTTGCATAATTCTGTAGACACAATGCACATGATTTAAATAGCAGTTCTATTTAAAAAAATTCATGCATTTTCAACTCATTTCACAGTAAACTCCTTGATTTGAATGTAACAGCAACTCCTATTTTTGAAATTAGTTAACGTTTTGTAAATGACATAAAGCTCTAACAACTGGAATTAGATTATATATAAATGTTTTTGGATTCTAGGTAGTTGATCTTTTATGGTGGGAGGGAAATCATGAAGATATAATTCAGATCTCATACATACGTAGACGCGTGTGTATCTTTATTTGACAACATATTAAACCTAAATGCTTGCAATACCCTTGAAATTAACACACAACGGAATTTTCTGAACCAATTAAACACCAAACTATATCCGGGGGCCTAAACTTTTATAATTCCCCAGTGCAAGGAAGTACAGACAAAAGACACGTATTATTATTTATTTGAAGTGCTCTAAGGTTTTCTTTCTTTTTAGTTGAAATGAAACTACCTTTTTAGGTTTTCGGCCAAATACATCTCATGTGGCAGTCTAGAAAAATAAATATCATAAGATTCCTGAAGCAAACATAAAAACGAGGTAACTTAAACCTAGAAATTACCTAACTGAACCAAACTTACTTATATGATGAATTAACATAAATTTTTAGAAACATGCTAAATTTTGAAGGGTTTTAAATAAAATCCACTCAACTTTACACATGGAACAGAACATCTGTACTTATTGAGTGCATTAAAAGTAAAGTTGTTAGGCTAGAACGATCGGACAATTTCATCAATGTTTAAACTTGATGGTAGGGTGAACTTTTTTGCTCATTTATTGGAATTCCATTGTTGTATTGGTTTTGAATAATTTTAAAGTTCATATTTCCTCTGATTTAGCTCAGGGTGTTTTGTGCAAAACCCCCAATATACAACCATACCCTTTTCTAAATAACTTGAGGCAATTAGATTTGATCTTGTTTGGACCAGGTAATATAGCATAGATATTGACACATCCATTATTACTAAGTTATATTGCTTGTTTAAACATTGGTTGTATTCTTCAAAATTTTGATACATACTTCTTGTATTTTCATAGTATTCAAACATAATTTGCTCTATGTGGATGTAATTGAATATACAGAAGGTCATAATGCTATAGGAGATGCATGTTCCATGGCGACTGCTCTATGTGGATGTAATTGAATATACAGAAGGTCATAATGCTATAGGAGATGCATGTTCCATGGCGACTTTTGTTATTGTTGTGCTTATACAGAAGGTCATAATGCTATAGGAGATGCATGTTCCATGGCGACTTTTGTTATTGTTGTGCTGCTGCTTGTTTTGTCATAAACCTAATTCTGCTATTTCAGGAGAAGGAATGTATACATGCAATTTTCTTCACATCAATAACAAACAACAATGGATCAGAATTCAAAATGATAGAAAGGGGATCATGTTGGTATAGTGCATTTGAATCAGTTCTTGCTAGATTAATGAATTGTATTTTGTAATCCATGCATGTTCCATGTATTATTGTTCTTTAAGCATTTCAATTATAGGTTGTGCTGTGATAATATTGAAAGTAATCTATTTGCAACCGGAAATGTTATGTATAATTTGTTGCTATGTTTGTGAGCATGTTAATATAAATAGTGAAATAGGAAAAAATAATTTAAATATAATTTAATATATACGAATACAAAGTATAAATAGAAATACGAATACAAAGTATGTCGAAGTTTTTTACTTTGTGTTCTCATTTACTATTATCATTTATTTAAGGTGAATCACGTCGAGTATGGGCATATGTTTTAGGTTCCTTATGGTAAAAAGAAAAATAAGGATAGTTTTGTAATAAAGAAAAAAAAATAGTGTATATCATGTTTTGTTGGTCATATTTTTTAAACATGATCATTCGAATTTGCTCCCTGTTTTCTTTTTATTTTTATTTTTCTTTTTCTTTTTAACATTAAAAGATTATTGCATAATAATATTATACCAAAAACCTTACAGTTTGTTGCTACCTATGGAACATGCTGCTTACTTTGCAAACCATTTAACGGTGGAACTTCTTACAGTTATCAATGTATATGACTGCAAGGATAACAAAGGAGTAAGCATATCTGAACTTGCAGATTATCCTCTTAAAACAATGTTGTTTACAAGCCAGATATTAAAATCATTTGTTGGATTAGTAGCTGAAATATCCTCTATTTTACATTAAGACAACAATTTCGTTTTCAACTAAATGTTCTCTGATTGTGCTACAAATGTTTTCCTGTTTCCTCAGGTAAATTCCACGAAACAGATATGCCAAGCTAAAGAAGAAAAAATGACCCCTTTAACAAGCTCAGCAAGTCCAGCTACAAAACTACTGTGAATATAATCATAATCCATGTAATAATCATCAAGAGTATCATGCAAAAGTCCTGCAGCAACAACCGTCACATTAGCACCAATCTTCGCCAACAAAAGCGCCGTCTGTATCATGCAAAAGTCCTGCAGCAACAACCGTCACATTAGCACCAATCTTCGCCAACAAAAGCGCCGTCTCCACACAATGTTGCAAGTACGTCGTCACATTAGCACCAATCTTCGCCAACAAAAGCGCCGTCTCCACACAATGTTGCAAGTACGTATCACCACTTGCTCTCATCTAACAAATCAAAATATGCCCATTTCATTCTTCATAGAAATTATCAATAGAAAAAATCAATTTCATCTTATATTTTAGATTCTTCAATCCTAGAATCAAAAGAGCCAATACGTAGGAAACATAACATTGTGCTTAGAAAAAGTAAAGAGAAATCAGCTATACCATACCGTGAAAAAAACATTCTGATTCTTTTAGCCCTACACCAACAGATATGGCAGTAAATCGTTTCATATTTCAAACTGATTATCTATAGACAAATGCAAATAATTTGAATGAGTGGAAGGATAAGAGGTGGAAACGAATCCTTGACGACTATATGTTGCGTATGTCCTATTATGATTCTGCTGTTAAGCTTGCAGGAAGCAGCAATATACAGGTTAGTTTGTTTTTGTAAGATTTTTTTCTTAATCTTAAACTTAAATTCATTATCTAATGCAAGATATATAGTATGCTTTTGATGTTTCACTTCACATCATGGTTCCAAATCTGCATGCATTTCTTATCATATGCTATGCGAATACGCTCTCCGCGCTGTACACAAAACGTAAGAACCTTCTAAGATAATGCCAGCATAAATAACTCAGTACTTATAATTTAGCACGTAAAATTTGCACCTTTACTTCTTCATATAACTTCTTCTACCATTAATACAATCTGTCTAATGTGGCCTGATGGATTCCAGATATCATACAACATGCTTCTGAGTAATTGTTGCTGATGAGGGGACACTAAAAATAGAAGCAGGGTTAAATATCCTAGCTCCTGCACAGAGTAAAGATTTGAGACAACTACGTAAAAGCACAAAAAAAAGTCAATATCGTCTACAATTTGATTACAAATCCCTTAAGATAAATACATATTATGCACACGCATAAATTTTATTACAATTTCTGCTTTTACTTTAATTTGTTTCTAAGTTGTTCAAATGAAGATATTACATTCTGTTTAGTGTGATTACTGAAACTATGTGATTACTAAAACTGTATTTTGTTTGGCATTGTCAGGTCCGGATGAAGGTCTGTTGTGTATTGGAATCAATTTTGAGGAAAAAGGATGATGAGCATTTATCCATTATAGCATGTTATTTTAGTGAGAGGAGAGAATCTGTGGTTAAATGCTCTGACGTACCTCAAGTTTCTTTGAGAGAAAAGACAAACAAAGTATGTAGCCTCATTTTCCTTTTTGTCCCCTTTGAAATGATGTTCAAATTTATTCTTGAATCTTGCTATATTCAATATGCCTTACTTTTAGCTCCTCAGCATAGAAGTGCTTTTTCTTGTGCCTTTCTACCTATTTCCTTGGATTTCATGTATTTGTACCTTAGTATTTTCATATCATATCCTTTTTAATATATTCAAGGTTAAATGTGAAAAATGATTATTTGTTGTATATTCACATTCAATGATCTAACACTTTGAATATGATTTAATCAAAATACAACCCATTTTAAAGTTGATGGGAAAATTAGAGCTATTTTACTGTATCGGATTTTAAAATGATATTTCTTTTCTGCATTTCACTTTCGGTCAACATTTTTCTTCTATTGCTCTCATATTCTCTCTCTGGGTGCCACAAGGAGTACAACACTGGTGAATGGGATAATTGCTTGTGTTTATGTCTCAATATTTTAGTTTTCTCTTACCCTTCACATTTATTTGATTGTATTCTGTATAGCAGCCAACCCCCGGATATAGGTGTTGCACCAGGCAATCAAGATTGCTGCTGCTTATCTATAGGAATAGTATGGAAAACAGCTTTTTCTGTTCTGCCCGTTATAGATAAATATGACGTTCTATTGGACCATTTACGGTTCTTGGGTTTACTGGAATCTGTTTTTATTTTTAAATTAAGTTATAATCTAATAAAATCTACATTCAAAGCCCAAAGCATGCAAGACTTATTAATATAGGCACACAAACAACTAAAATCTTATCCTCAGAATCGATAAAAAGAAAAAAAAAGCATGATATTAATCTTCTTAAGTTGCGTTTATGGTTTCTCATCTTTTCCCTTGATTACCTTTTTATAATAGTTCATATTTGCCTATTTATATTTGATTGTTTTATTATCTTTTTTCTCTTAACGTTCCTGATCAAATTCCAGCTCACTCTTGGTTTTCTCACTTTTTTTATGTTACTGATCAGTTTAATGTCTTCTTTTCTTTATGTTTTAAGTCTTTTGGATTGGGACAAGATTTTTGGAACAGGGAACCAGGTGGAGCAATCTAACGCAAGAACCATGCCAGTTCCAGCTGTTCAGGTGCCCAACTTAATCGATACAAGTGATGCAAATGATTAGGGAACTGAATCTTTAACACAGAAGCATGTTGACCAAGATATTGGAAACCTGACAACATCTGGTTCTTTGGTTGATGATTTGTTTGGAGATGGCCCTGTTACTGGTCTGAACATTAGTGAAAATAAAAGTAAAGATGACCCATTCGCAGATGTATCTTTCCACGTGACCGAAGAGAAACAACTTGATGACAGATTTTCAAGGTTGATAGTTGATGTTAACAAATCTGAGAATGAGCAGAAAGTTAATAAAGAGTTTGAATTACTTGACGCTTTCCGTTACAACTCTGATCTTCTTCTGCAAGAATCTGAAACGAAAACAAGCAATGACCATGACATGATGGCTGGTTTGTCTCTTAATAGTAATGTGCTAGAGAACAACCAACATTTTATTGGAACTTCCTTTGTTGATACCATAAATCTGTCCAGCCAAATGCCTACAAACCAATCCAGCCAGGGTCCTGTGAGCAGTGCTCTAAATGGAGGTCTTTGTTCAAAATCCCTATTCCCTATGGCTACAATGCTGTATAATATGTCCCTAACTATGATATTCAATCAATCTTATACTAACCAGCCAATGAACTATGCCGCCATGGGGGCGTTCATTGCACAGCAGCTACTACTGTTTCAAATTGTAGGAAATATTAATGCTTGTTATGAGCATGCTGTTGACGGAAGTCACTCGGCATTACCTGAAATTTTTCAACTTTCAAAAAAACAAGTAAAAATCCATGCTACAACTACCAGCTCGAAGGAGGATACAAAAGCTTTCGATTTTATTTTGGTATGTTCATTCTTCCTTTACCCAGATAAATAAATTCTATTTCCTATTGATTTCCACCTTCTGAAACTATCTTCTACAATAAAAAAAATCATGATAATAAACGTACTATAACTGCTAGATTGTGAGATGAAAATTTGTATGAATTTCACTAGGAGAAAGTACTAGAACTGCTGGATGTAACTGCTAGATTGTGAGATGAAAATTTGTATGAATTTCACTAGGAGAAAGTACTAGAACTGCTGGATGTTGAGACAAGAAGTTGTATGAATTAGTCCAATAGGTGTCACACAGTTTTTTGGTTCAACTGTACTTTTTATGCATATAAATTATGTAGGTCATATTTTGTGGCATCTTGCTGGTAATTATGGCAGTAGGCAACTTTGCAAATATCTATTTTTACTTATTCAGGTAAACTCACAGAGAAAAGTGATGTTTATGACTTTGGAGTAGTTCTTCTCGAGCTTCTCATGGGAAGAAAACCAGTCGAGAAACTGGCCCCATCTCAGTGCCAAACTATAGTTACATGGGTAAGCATTGCCCATGTTTGAAAACCTACATCTATACTCCAAACTCCGAGTCTCCAATGCATTAATAACAAATTTGATATTTTGCAGGCCATGCCTCAGCTAACAGATAGATCAAAGCTACCAAACATTGTGGATCCAACAATTAAAAAAACAATGGATTTGAAACATTTATACCAAGTCAGATTCCCTGAACTTTAGTCCAATATCCTTATTCATTATTGTCTTCTTCTAATTTGAGTGTCATGGTTCATACAGGTGGCAGCTGTTGCTGTGCATTGTCTTCAATCTGAACCCAGTTATCGCCCTCTGATAACTGATGTCCTTCACTCTTTAATTCCTTTAGTACCTGTAGAGCTCGGAGGTACACTTAGAGTTTCTGACCCATCCAGGAGTCCAAATGTTGAGTTCTGACTGAATAAATATTGTCCCTGTTGGAAACATGCATCTGAGTATGGTGTTCAGAATGAGCGTTCATAATGAACCTGCAGAATATAGGAGAGCTCATTTGCTTCAGAGGAAAAGTCCTTTTCCTGAATTGTTGTTGTAAAAAGGAAAAAAAAAAACAAGAGTCCTAAGGGGGTTGCTCTTTTGCTCCTTAATGTTATATTTGTAAATACACGGTTTTAAGACATTTGCTGAGAGGAAAATTTTGGAGAAATTTAGCCAACTTTTGATAAGATTGGTAATTAATGAGTTTATTAGTTGAGTCAGCTCATTGGATTTCTGGTTTAGATGATAACCTCGATCCTTTTAGCAATTAGCTGGTGCAATTTGGATAAGCAGGAGAGCCCTTTTGAGAGATGGTATCTAAGATTGCTTTGTTATATACCTGGAACCTAAAGTACTCAGTTGTCATAATTGTATGCCAGTATTTTGCAAACCATAAATACTATCAGCAAAGTTATTCATGTTTGTAAATTGTTTTTATTTTTTTTACAAATTAAGTGCTGCCTATAATAACTGCAGGCAATACTGCAGTTTACCTAACCACACTTCTACAAATGAAGTGGTGCCTATACATATTTTGTAAAGTTGTTTTTTTTTAAACTTGTGAGATTGATCTCGATAGAGAACGAGTTTATCCCCAACAGAAGGTTCATCCAATTGATTATTGATGATTGATTACAAAAAAGAGGAAAGAAGCAAATATTGATTTAGCCTATCACTTTGGCCTATATCATGTTCCCTTCCAATGTTCCATCACAGATAGGCTCCAGCAAAAATATATCAATGGCGAAATTCACAGAGAAATCCATGTACTTATCCTTTCTTCCATACCGATACACCTGTAACATAATCCTGTACTTATGCACCTTTCCCTTGTCCAATTTTCCACATAAGGCCTCAAACGAGACTTATGTCTATTATCAGCAAAATATCAGTCATATGAACATGAAACTACACCTAATGTGAGACGAAGACAAGTTATAGATGACCAATCTCCATCAACCAGTGATAATTCAGTATGAAGAATGTATGAATCGAATCCTAGATTTTCCCCATAGAAACCAAATGAGAGTGGACAAAGATTGAGTTTAGTATATTATTTAAGTCTTCAAATGTTTGGTTCACGAATCTCTACTATTTGTGGTGTATTTGTCTAAACTATCCATAAATTAAATTTTATTGTACAAACGTTGTGAATTTTTAAATTTTTTCCATATCTTAGCTATATTGTTTACATTCAATAAATTTAGACCAAATCTATGCCTAAATAAATTTAAAATTTAAAATAATATTAAAAATTTTACCACGTGCATTGCACGTGCAATCCAACTAGTACTTTAAAAAGAGCAACTGCTCCTAGGAAAAGGGCTAACGATTATTGGGCCTTATTGGGCTTAACAGGGAAACGTTTAATAACATATCAATGAAGCCGTTCAAGAACACGTAGAAAATAAGAAAATTAAAAATTAAAAAGAAACTTAAAACGCCGTTGCCGGGGATCGAACCCGGGTCACCCGCGTGACAGGCGGGAATACTCACCACTATACTACAACGACTTGTTGGTAACAGTAAAATATCTAATATAATTGTAAAATAACTCTATTACGAGAAAAACAGTTGAGAGATCATTATCATAATAGTAGCCATTGATTTTTTTATTGAGTGGTTTATGATTTGTCTTTAAGTGCAAATAAATAAGGAATGCATACAATTTAAAGATATACGGTGAGCGTTAGATTTAAAATGAATCATAATTATTCACTAAATAAATCAATGATTGTTAATATGGCAGCATTATCTCCACCGGTGGCGGATGAGAAAAACTTTCTTAGAGAGCCGCACGACAAATAATTTGTTTAGTGGTATATAAGTAAAATTCAATGGTGCTACTCAATTCAAATTGGGGTGCGAATTTTTATCGAGCTCGCAGTCATCAATACGCCATTGTCACTCCTAGTGAGTTTCACAACCTTTTTTTTTTTTTTGCTTTTTTCATTTTCGATCTTCTCATCTGAGATGCCATTAATCATCCACAAAGTGCTCTGTGATCGTAATCAAATATAAATGTAACCGCAAAGTAATTGATTGAAACAATTAACATGGGCAAGATACCGGTTAACCTAAACATGACCCACCATTGAACAATAATAAAGATTTTATTATTGTTGTCCTAAAATCTCTCCCATTTTCATATGAATAGTGTTATGATAGGGCGCATTAAGTTGATAGAGAATATGTGGCTCTCAGATTTAAGTGGGCCCCGATGTTAAGTTTGAGAAGTGATGGACACGTGGAGGCACAACACTTGGTCGGTTGCTTTCACTTTCTTTCACCAACAGTTGCTAGAAGAGGCGTACAACGTTGGCATAGAGAATCTTCGCAAAAGAAAAATTTCTCAAGGACCCAGAATATGGGACCAATAGGGGGACAAGTGAGTTGTCCCCCTTCTATTCGATAATGAGTTAACCATCATTAATTATGACTAACTCATTATCCAATAGGAGGGGGACATCTTACTTGTCCCCCCTATTGGTCCCATATTTTGGGTCCCTGTAGCAAAACTCGCCGCAAAATTAGGTGGGGAGGTTGACACGTGTCCATTGGTGATTCGGGTCGGATTTTGCTTTTGGCTAAGGGCCCGTTTGTTTCATTTTTTTTGAAGGAGAAAGTTAGAGGAAAGCTGCCAAATCTGACAAAAACTGTCAGTTTTGGCAGGCTTTCTTACAAAAACGTCTCTTTTAGAGGCGTTTTTGCAAGAAAGCCTGCCAAAACTGTCAGTTTTTGTCAGATTTGGCAGGCTTTTCCCTTCCCATTTTTGCAAACAAACAGCCCCTAAGGAGCCCGTCACTTTCTTGTCAACAGTGAGGCAGGTCTCGTCTGCTTGGACGCCACGTGTAAGGGAAGAGATATTTTGCAACATAAATAAGTATAAAAAAACATCTCTTTTACACTGCTGATAGGATAATTATAATTTTTAAACTAACCTTTTTAGTAACTATTCGTGAGTGATACACATCACTCATTCTGTAGAGTTATTCTGATAGAATTCTTACTCGAGATTTGTGATTCCGTTTCCGTGTAAGCAATGAGAGTTGTAGATGTCTTCTCATGTGCCACTATCAATTTTACATGAGCACACTAATCTAGTATGGTGAATGAAAATGAGTTTAAAGTTCAAACAGTTGAAATATTAGTACACATCAACTTTAAAAATTGGTGTGTATATGTTCCACTAAATTTTCTTCATGTATGGTTTTCTCTAGAGGAAAAAGTCATGCAGCTCAATTTCAAAATTAGTGATTTTAATAACTCACATATTGTTATATTGATCTAGTATCATATTTGCACTTTTTGTTGACCGGTTACAAACTACATTAGAGCATCAGTCATGCATGCAAGCATGATGTTTTGAAACACAAAAAATAGGTAAGGTAACAATTTGAAGATTGCAACTAACCGTATATGGTTCAGAACAATCTGCTCACATGCGAGGTGTTCTAATTCAATTTGTATTCTTTCCCCGTTCTCTATGCGACTTTCAATAGAATGACTAATATGATTTGTGGGGCCATAAAACTGCTTATAAAAGGAGAGGTAGAGGGTTAGTCTTCAAGCACAAAATCAATATCAAAATCAAAATATATACCAAATTAACATGGCAGCTGAAATCATTAGCAATGTCAATGAGAGATGGTCGCTTAAGGGAGCCACAGCTTTGGTCACCGGAGGAACTAGTGGAATCGGGTACATTATTGCTAACACTTTTCATATTCGAGTCCTCTATTGCTTTGTGTTAAGCTTTCAACTCTTATATATATGGATACCTTTGGATATAAAACAAGCATGATATAAATATAAGTTAAAAACATTTGAATTCATATGGACATAATTGGTTCGCTATTATTTGAGAATTTTTATTTGAGAATTTTTGTTTCCTTCATCTAGGTACGCCATTGTTGAAGAATTGTTCGGGTTCGGAGCAACTGTGTACACTTGTTCGGAAAATGAAGAACAACTCAAAAAATGCTTGGGAAAGTGGCAAAGCATGAAGTTTCCTGTTCACGGATCAGTTTGTGATGTATCCTGTAGAGCTCAACGAGAGAAAATGATGGAAGAGGTTTCTTCCTTGTTCAATGGAAAGCTTGATATACTCGTGAGTATTGCTCTCATGTTTTTTGTAATAATGGTACATTTCACAAAAATTTGAAAGATTTGTACGGAACAACCATAAATTTATTTATTTTTTTCGATTTGAGAAATCTATATAAAAAACTTTATTGGGTAAACTTCACAAAACCCCTAAGCAGTTTGAGAATTTTAAGATAGCCCCGAACAAGTTCGGAGATCACTTTTAACTCCCAAAACCTTTGCAAATTACCCATAAAAAGGTTGGGGGTTATCTGCAAATAGATTTAGGAGGAAAAAGAAAACAAAACTTTTGAGGGTTATTCTTCTTCATGACTGACAATAATTAGGACACGTTATCCAGTCCATCTACTTTATATAGAAGAAATTTTCACTGTAGACTCATTCTCATATTTAATCCCTAAAACCGACCCACTTTAAAGTTATTTATGATAATCGACCCACTTTGAGTTAATTGCAGTACTAATTAGTCGGGGTTGCCAACCTCGACTAATTAGTAGCCTAATTAGCAGCCGTAAACCTTCCCTGCTCCCTGACCCCGCTTGTAATTAGGCTACTAATTAGTCGGGGTTGGTAACCCCGACTAATTAGTACCGCAATTAACTCAAAGTGGGCCGATTCTCATAAATAAATTTAAAATGAGTCGGTTTTAGGGATTAAATCTGGGATTGGGTCTACAGTGAAAATTTCTTCACTTTATATATCTTCGATATAATCAAGTATTTTTCTGCAATTTCGAAAGTTAACGGCGGTTTTGCGCAAATTACCTCTCTAGGACTTACATTCTCTCTTTTAACCACCAAGTTCCTCTAAATTGTGTCAATATCTTCTCATTATATGTTGCTCTCGATCCTTCGTAGGTCAATAACGCAGGGACATTTATTTTGAAGCCATTTGTGGATGTGAATGTTGAGGACTACTCATTGATCATGTCTACAAATTTTGAGTCAGGTTTCCACCTGAGCCAGTTAGCCTATCCTCTCCTCAAAGCGTCGAAAGCGGGGGCTGTAGTCTTCCTCTCCTCAATTGCTGGGGTTTTGGGAGTACCATCTATGTCAATGTATTCTGTTAGCAAAGGTAAATGAAAATTATATTTCGTTACTATTTGATTATAACTGGCTCATGTGTATTTTTTTTATTTTATTTTTTTGGGATAAATCAGGAGCAATAGTTCAGCTGACAAAGAGCCTGGCAAGTGAATGGGCGAAGGATAACATCAGAATCAACTCCATTGCACCAGGGATCATTGAAACCCCGATGACGGAATCAGTAAGCTTTTTTCCTCACGCCCTCCTCTTCTGGTTTAATTTTCACATGCACCCTCCTTTAAGCTTAATTTTCTATTAGCACCTGCACCCCTTGAATCTTGGTCGACCGTCACTTTTTCCCTCTCAATTTTAAGTTTTTTTTTTTTCACGTAAACCATTTTTAAATAGGGTGGTAACTCAAGAACCATCTTCAAAGTTCAATTTATATAGAAATCAGCTTAGTTTAAAGGTAACTTTGACTGAGAACCCCTTCGAAAACACGAGTGCCGGGCACGTGATGTGATGTGCATTCTTATCAATTCTGGTGCTTGATACTGTATTTTTTAACTTAAAACCTTGTCATAAAATAGATAAGACGGTTGGTTCTATCGGAATCTCCTTTAAAGGTGGCTTCTGAATAAGATGAAGGTTAAAGTTGGTTTTAATACAATCACCCTATCGTAAAGGTGGTTTCCAACTAAAGGCAAAAGTGTAATTACATGATTTTTACGACATCTTTATTTCCTTAAAAAAAAAAAGAGAAGAAGGCGAGTTTCACATGACATCTCAAAGTAACTTGGAAAATAACGTCCTATGAAGCTAATAGCCATGATTTCACAGTACATGCAAGAGTGTATTCGCAATTAACCCTTTGTTTAAAAGTTTTAGCGGCAATAGACTCGGACTAAATTTATTTCTCTCTATATTTTCTCTGTGATCATCAGCTGGATGATCTTAAATCATCAGAAGCATCAAAAACTCCTCTGAAACGCAATGGTCAGCCCAAAGAGGTGGCGTCTCTGGCGGCGTTCCTCTGCCTGCCTGCCGCTTCTTATATCTCTGGGCAGACAATCTGCGTCGACGGAGCCCGGACCGTGAGCGCGTAAGAGGCTGGAAGATGATCACAATCATACACATTATATTATATGGAAGCTAATGTGTACCCTGTTTTTATAAGTTTATTTGTTTATGATACGCACGCATCCGCTGTCGGCGCATGAACCGTGTTGGTTGAGTGAGAAATGTTTGAACATGTCGAAGCCTGCAGAAAAGCAGCAGAACAGCTACCATGCATGTATGCTTGAATCATTATTTCGTCTACGTATGCTGATCTTGTTTGCATTTTCTGACTAGCCAAAGCACGTATTTGTTATCAGTGAATTTTACTCGACTCTTTTACCTCGAGGGTCTTTTTATAAATAAAAAAAAAATCCATTTCTTTACGTACGCAATTGACGAGTTTGGAATCCAATGTACTGGAATTTTTGGTTCAGGCGCAAGTAATTTCCCGATTGTTGAAGTCTTAGCATCTTTTTCCTTAACTTACTACATACAAACCAGAACTCAACTCTCGCAGCATGCGCCCGATACAACATAACAATTTGTTCACTTACAATTGACAAGGCCTAAACTGCTGGTATCTCAAGCTTAACCATAAAATTAATGGAAAATACTCGATAATGGGAAGATGTGGAACTCTTAACACCATTGCCACCTACTACACGAGAAAGTATCCAATGGACCTCGTCCAAGAGATGGGAGCCCTTTGATCTGTGCAAAACAGGGAGATTTGGATGTAGAACTGTATTAATCTAAGTGTTCTCCTCGTTTTTTGCCCACCAACTTAGAACGGAGCATTCGTTTCTGACACATGAGTATTTTTCTACTTGCATATGGACCTTCAGATGTGTCACGAAGATCACACCTCCATCCCATAGCCGTCGTGATTTCTCGGATCTCGTCGACGATGAATCTATTGTCGCGGATATAAGCTCGGCCACCTGGTCTGAGCATTCGGTCCATCTCCAGTAAGATGCTAGAGATGTTGCACCTGAAAGGTAGGAGAGATTCAGTAAACAGTAGGCAAAAATAATGTCAAATTCTTTTACAACCATAGAAATCTCTTTCGCTTTGGGTGAGCTTCATTTTAGAATTCCAGAAGTACCCTCATATTTGGGAGAGGAAAAAACGAAAAGGAAAAATAAAGAAAAAGAAAAAAAAGCCCTCACACTTGAAAACCAAGAAGAAATGCCCTCATGCCTGAAAAATCAATGGGAATACCCTCAAACCAGGGGAAGAAAAACTAACAAGCTGTGGTTTGCCTTGACAATTGGACTACAAAAAACACCAAGGTTCAAGGTCATGCGTTGCATGCACCAGAATACTAGTGCAAATTTCAGATAATCTTCAATGATCCACTTCTTTTGTGTATTCAACTAGAGCACACAATGGGCCTTTGAGGTGATTGAATTCTATACGCAACTTGGAAATACTATGAGCTTAGTAAAGCCTTTCCAGTGACAGTTTTGAGTCTTGACAACCAAAATTGAAAATAAAGTCTCGCAAATTCCAATTTCAAATATTTCATGATACGAGGAAGTAAACCCACCTTTTCTGCTCTTTGGAGAAGAGGCCAGATGCATGCAATAAATCATAAGTTCTTGGATATGTATCAAATGGTTCACACCTGTAGAAAAATGTGTTAGGCATTGTTGAAAAAACTCTTGTGTAACTTGTTATTTTGCATTTCGTAATCTAACAAACCTTAAACGTTATGTAACCTTTTGAAATAACTCAGACAGACCATAACTCTACGTTATCACGATAAAAATGTGTCATCTCAATATAACCTGTGTTATTTCGGTATAATTTATTATAGGGACTCAAGAGCATTTTCTTTCTCAGAAGCTGAAGAAAAGTAATTACTTTGAATTGTTTGTTAAGCAGTCATGGATTATTTTGGTGACATCAATTATGTAATTGTGAAATTATGGATGTGACTAATAAAATGACTATGAAATTATAAATGAGATGTAAATTTGTAATTATTATTTGACTCTTCTATTGCCATACCTATTAGTAAATCTGCTGTATAGCTTGTATTAACTTTAAAAAACATTCAATTTTTTTAAAATTTTGATATTTTGCTCCTAATTCTTAAAACTAGTATTATTTATAAAGAATTTTTAAAGAAACAATAAGAGCATATGTAAACTAGTATGCATTGTGCTTTAACCTATTGACAGGCATTAGCATTACCGTATTTTTTAACATTGCTTCAGATCTAAGAGCGTTCTCTTTGGTATTTTCATTTAAAATTGAAATGCATGTGCTTTTGGATTGGCTATTAACCCTTTAGGATGTATTTTTGTTGAGAAATTGTAATGGTATATTTGATAATTGTGATGTTATATTTGAAAGTTGTGGCAGTTCCATTTATTAAAATCATTGTGAATATTTTTTTTATTTATTGAATAATTGAATAAATAATAGACCATGTAACCTAGGTTATGCGTTACGTTGTTTTGCATTTTAGGTTATCGGCAGGTGAGCCTTCCGTTATGTGTTATCATTATTTTTGACATTGGTGTTAACGCTTCTTAGAAACAAAATTCACTATCGACAGGACTGCAAGCATTGCCATGAGTTGCCTTCTAGGTAGGCATGCGTCTAAATTTTGATGGGATAGCAACAAGAAAGATGAGAAATCAGTGAGGCCTTTGAGTTGAACAAGTGAATATACCACCATGATTTATGTACAATCATAGTTCCCATCTTAAAACTTGGAGAAGCAACAATCGTATATAGTTAAAACATCCATCATTTTAACCGAAAAACAAGGTAAGCAAATCATTGAATGTTCAATTATCAGTTAGCACGAAATTAGACTCGAATCAGTTTTCTATGTACTGATATGTGCTAGCAGGTAAATATAGATATACTGCTATGGAAAAAGATAGGAGTTTATGAATCATACCAATCATGGCTCACTCCTATAAGTCCACGATCATATATCACAGGCAATGTATTGGGTCCAGTAGTTGGAACAACATTCATCACCCAGCTATCAATATTATGCTCGATTAATGCAGTTGCAAACCTGGCAAAAGTGACAGATATCATAAGAAAAGAATGACAGAACAAAGAAGCAACCACAAAAAGGAGGAATAGCATCACAAGATAAATAGCAATTCCTCCGTTTGTTGATCAGTAAAACTAGAAATTAGTTGTGAAACAGTAAGATTTGACGTACACAACAGCAAAAAGCATAAAGCGTACAGCAACAGTGAAAGTCTGTACAACTTCTTGTGATGTGGAAAGAAATAAAGAAGAAAATTTAGAATTTTTTTGAAACTTTAGATCCATCTATCTACCCACTAAGCACTCACACATACACACACACACATCTGGGACTTAATTTGTTTTGCAATCACTTGCAACATAAATGAACTGCACTTCCTTTTCCACTCAAGACCACCCAAAAGTTCTCATTTCCTTTTATTGTCCCCTTTTCCGTTTCAACATAAACACAGGATGTTTTAACTTAATTAACTATCATGATGCCCTCTTGATTAAGATAATATATTATCAATCAATTTTAATTAACAACACGAAACAAATGAATCTAGCCTAGCTAGCTCATTTGGAGGTTAGCACTATTGGCTGAAATGTACATAACTTGGATATTAGATAGGAGAAGAAATATTAGGGTTTTAATATAGGATAACTAGAATGAGAGTGAGCTAAGCCTGGGGCAGGACAGCAGCTCCAAGATGTAGGACCACTCCACTCAGGGACAATGGTGGATATATGGAGTGACCAATGATCTAACTTTACTAACGCCAGAAAGGATTGAGGTGTTATAATTGTGTTTAATGCAACTGTCATGTCAATGTGAAGGTACATTGGCTCCAAGCCTTCTTGAGCTAAGCCTAGCGTAGGAGAGCAGCTCCAAGAGCTAGGACCACTCCACTCAAGGAAACTGGTGGATGAATGGAGTGACCAATGATTTAACTTCACTAGCGTCAAAAAGGATTGTGGCAATATAATTATGTTTAATGCAACCGTCATGTCAATGTGAAGGTACTTTAGCCTTTGATCAGATAAGCGGATGTTTTCATTGTAAAAGTAGTTTCTATTGACATGCAGGTTTTTTTACACAAGTCATTCTGAAAGACACTTGCTTAGGTTCCTACCGGTTTGACTAAGCACACATGGCATGGTCCAACCAGGAGGTTGATGGTGATCGAGCTCTTCCAGAAGTTCAAAAAGGATGGTGTTAGGGAATGCCTTGGCAGAAAAATACATTGTCATGCTAGCAATTTTGCTACGCGAACAATACAATGAAAGAAATGTCCCATCAAATTAGCGCATCTGTAGTTATGTAGCAGTGTAGCACCTCCCTGACACTCAGCCACTACAGAATAGCAGGTTGTAGGCTGTCTAAAAATCACAATAGATAGCTGATTCCCCATAAACACCGATGATGTAAGTTACAATCTGACGACTCCCAGACTTTCACGTAGATCGATGAAGGTTACAATCTGACGACCTTCACAACAACTGATGAAAGCTCTAATCAACAACCTTTACAATCAACATCGGGAGTTACAATCTGACGACTCTCACATATCAAAGAGCTAAAGCAAAGATTACAAAACGACGATCTTTGCAACGCTCTGATAGAAAAAGACTACAAATCGACGGTCTCTTCAAACCAAGACGTGGAAGTCCTCCCCGCGTACCATCATCAAGACGCAACACCAATTCGACCGCGGACACAGGTCAAACATGGCTGCAAACACAGCTCACATTCAACTCCGCAAACGCAACTCAGATCCAGCTGCCAACGCAGCTCATGTTTGGCCACAAACGCAACCTCCGAAAGCTACCAACGCAGCTTTCATCCGTTGCCAAACGCAGCTTCCAACAAACAGCCAAATGAGCTTCCAGCCGCTGCGTCCGAGCTTTCAGACACTGCGTTCAAGCTTCCAGACACCGCGTTTGAACGCAGAATTCACACCAAAACGCGGATTTTGCATTTGACTCGTTCAAACACGAGCTGAACGGTTCCAGAAATCGTTTTCTCCCCATGATCTGAGGGATTTCTGCCCCCACATAGGAGCGGATTAAGGAGGCGGTTACACCCCATTCAGCCCCACTTAGGAACGAATTAAGGGGACAGTTATACCCCTTAATCCCTTATAAATAACTAAGAAATCAGCTTAGTTCGGGGGCTGGATCTTTCATCATTCTTTTTGGCAGCAAAGAAGAGATCTTTGGGGGGAATTGCTGGAGCTTTAGAGATCAGCAACATGAGCTTTCTTCATCCTTAGCTTATAGACCGATTTCGGTTAAATCGACTCTTTCATAGAGTTTCAAACTCGTTCAGAGTTCTAAAACTCTCTTTCATAGAGTTTCAAACTCGTTCAGAGTTCTAAAACTTGCCACGCAAGTTCTCCACAACGTCAAATCGTGAGGAGAGTTCTAAAACTTGCCACGCAAGTTCTCCACAACGTCAAATCGTGAGGAGAAGATCACGTTCCAGTGAAACAAGACGTCAGGTCGTCAACGAGAAGCAAACTCGACGTGAGCATTCGAGGGAGGCATCTCATCGCTACTGTGAAGAACCCAGAATTAAACAAAGGGGAGAATACAGATCATTCTCCTCTCTTTTGTAATCAGGAAATCCAATTGTAATTGAGATTAAAGGAATACAGATCAATTTTCCTTTATTTCTTTTTACTTTAAAATTTCCACCAAACACAGGTGTGCACACAAAGATTTGCCAGCTGTCCAGGTTCCTAGGAATATGGTCTTGCTCAGGCTCCAACCATTTAATAGTTTCAGATATGGGTATTGCTAATACATATTGAGTACAATTCTAATTTTGTACTTCCAAGATCCAGTTTTCTTAAATCTTTCTTTGATTTTAATTTTAGCACTGATTTTAACACCTTTTTTATTTATCTCAATTTAGAACTGCAGTAGTGTTCTACTACTATAAATCTCCCCATCATTGTCATTCACCTGCCGCAACCAAACATTGGGCCTACTATGAAGCAAGGTTCCCTGTGAATTTTGCAAGCAATTAGACCCGTACCATCCTAATCTCAGGCCCCAATCCTAATCCCAAACCCCCATGAGGATGACACCTTCATGGCCAAGGAAATAAAAAATAAAAGAGAAGCATGCCATAAATACTAAAATGCCACAGTTGTGGATAAAGAAAGAGTAACTATTATGAGTTTAGCAAGTGTGCAGGACAAAAGAAGATTCCAGAAAAGGGGCAAGATGGTATGTTTTCTATAGGGGATTATACTCATCTATAAGGCATGGGCAAAAAAGATCTAAAGAAAACATATTTTCACACAGCACCCAGAAAGCCTCATACTACAAATTCATGGCAAGTGTTAACAATCAAAATAAAGGGACTTAAGCAAAGGATTAACTAATTACCCTCCAAATCCAGCTCTCATGTCCATGACATTCCGAAACTTCAACTTTTTCCAATGGAAAGAACGAATATAACCCGCAACAATATCCTTCCAGTATCTGGATTCTGCCTTGAAAAGCTCACCTTTTGCTAAGTAAGCATCCATTTCTACAGTCTGGAGTCTTTGTGGTGCTTCATGCATACGGGCAGGCCACGATGGAATGTTTGCTCCATGTCCATTCTCAGGAAGTCTAGTGATGCATGCTTTCAGACCAACATACCTGAGTAATGCATAAACAACTTAAAAGCAAGAAAAGCATTCAGAAAACATGTTTTGTTATGCAGGTTCCATAAATCTAAGCTTTAAATTCCTAGAATCTCCGCTGCACTAACAAATATCTCAGAAGCTACAGACCATAGCTGTGATGGGCGAATTGGAGGTTTATTACTTCAAGAATCATCATGATTACTACCTCCATGTCAATCAGTATCTGTATCTACTAACATTCTTGTTTTCTTATTTCTTAGATCGTGCTAATTTCTATGCTCCTTCTTAATTTCAAGTTAAGAAGGCTATGCCCGAAGAAGGAAAGTAAACTGCGAAGTGTTTCAATATAGAAACTTGGGTTTTTGACATCAAGAAATTTCTCAATTATTACTAACATATTTGAACACCAGTTAGCAGAACGATATAAAAACATTTAACCAAAAAAATTACAAATGTAAATCATGAATTTGCATTGTAACAGACATTCTAATAAAAATTATCTGACTTCATTACCATCATTTTCATTCATCTCACTTCATTAAGAGCATGCACCTAAAATAAGTTACTAAACTTGCTTGTCAGACTCAAGTTGAACTTACCAGCTGCTACATCTTTAGGGGAAGAGAGGAGAATTGGCACAATGAAAAATAAAAAAAACAACTGATGGACAGGGAGATTTACTACCATTAATGCAATCTAACTTGATGCAACCAAGAGCATTATTTTTTTAATTTCTTACTTATATTCCCTTAATTTTTTAACAGTTTATAGAAACGGTCAAGGGTGATTACTAAATAACTAAAATCCATGCACATAAATTTTAAATGAAAGAAATGTTGAAATTACCAAACACTGTTTGGGTCATCACCAACTTCACATAATGGTGGTTGGACAGCAGGATCACGATTAGTATAACATGTATTGTCCAAAGGCTTCTTCCATATAGAAACATAACCTTCCTTCTTCTCAAGTTTCCAACAAAGACGATTTGTAAGGTCCTCCATTTCTATGTTATATGTTAAACAGGATGAGTAGTAACATAAGTAAAATTTAGCTTAAATTAAAAGATACATCAAGGCTAGATATAAATATTGAATAGAAATTTTTTAGTTAGTAGAAAGTGCCCTAGAGCTTCAAAGAATTCATTGGATAAATATTAAAGGCAAATAATTTGGGAGTTTGAAATAATAATAAAAAGAATGAGAATCGCAGAGAATTCTAAAATTAAAATAATAAAAAACCAAGATTTCAGGACTTATTTAAATTGAAGATATGAAGAAGACACTACTGTTTTCTGAAGAGTACTCCTACACAATTATACAGGGCATGGTTCTAAAGGATCCGAGTCATTATCCTAAAGTTTTTTGGTGACAGCCTAACGTGAAAGCAAGAATCCCAAGAGCTACCTAATAGTACCATTTTTAAGAAGGTTTTAGACAAAAAAAAAGCTTCATTTGTGGCAAAGAAAATTGTCAATATAATTCAATATGTCTAAAATGATATCACATATTTATTTCTTTCAAAGAAAATCTCCAGCTGTGGCCTGTCAGGCAATGGGATGGTAAGAGGATCATTGCTAGGTTCAAAAGGGCAGCTCTTGCTGCTAGTTACTACTCAATTTGGCAGGCTAGAAATGCTGTTGTGTACAGGCACCAGCTCGCTCAGGTGGAGGAAATGGAGGATCAAATCCATTTTTTTTCTCAAGATCAAGTTTAGCAAAGTGGATAATATGTCAGATACAACCTACAACTGGCAATGGTGTGCTAAAGTCTGCATCCATCCCCCATTTATTAGCAGAGCAGAAGTGTGAACATTTGAATAGTTTTAGTTTTGGTATGGGTTTTACTTTCTATTCATACTTGTATATGTTGAGAGAGGGTTTTTAGATTGTTTTGCTTTGAGCCTGTACCTTAAATCTTCATTGGTAATGAAATATGCTAATCCTCATGCCACCGCGCCCCCCCCCCCACCCCACCCCAAAAAAAAGAGCTCCAGCTGTATTTTTCTGAACAGAAAGTGGAATTTAACAAGAGTATTTCCATATGTCTGTAACGAAAATGCATCAGGAATGAGGATGAAAAATTTTCTCATTTATTTAAGTACAAGATAGTCTCAAAGAAAACATATTTTTCCCAAATTTCCGTAGGAGTTTGGAATGACATTAGTATAGATAACCACATGAATAGATGAACATGAATGTTTAAAGCAAGTAACAAGACAAAAAATAATGTCTCAGGGATTACCATCATTCCAAATTCATATAGGGTACAGAAATCAACATTTCGAGTTTTCGCAATAAAAGAGAACATAATGATTAAGAATACAATAATATAAACAATTGTTGATATCATAAATTATATATGATGAACCCTGCTAATCAGGCCAAAGAGTTAACCAACAATAGATATTGCAAGGATGTTCACTTGGCACTGAAGATCGATGAAGAAAATCTTGACACACAATCCATGATGAAGACTGATGTTCAGCCAAGAATAGTTACAGTTAGGATGAATCAGTAACTTAAAAACCAATTAAAAGAAATGTCAATATACTAACTAAGTGCGTCCCGAACCTGCTATAGACGCTAGCAACATACCAAAAACTTCAAGTGGAATTTCTCTAATGAGAATAATCAGAGGAGTTACCTTTCCATGCCTCTTGTTGACTCTCTTCATGTTTGTAAACAGGTTGTGCTGCCCAAGCAAAGTAACCCCCAGGTCTGAGCATTCTGTTGGCCTCAAGAAGTAAAATTCCATCTTCACCACAATTTGGTGTAAACTGGTCAGTACAGTGAACCGAAGTGAATTCCAGTAACTAAATGTCAGCAATAAGACAGTAATTGCCAGATTCTTAAATGAACTTAAAACCAACAAAAGCAGAAAGGAAGTTTATTGTTTTTGGGGCCACCGTAAACATCGGTATCCTTGCGGTAAAAGAATAATTTAACAAGTAGAAAATCTACACAATGTGACCGCAAAATATGCAATGTAAAAGAAGGTATATGATGATTTCAGAACATAACAACTTCTCAAATATAAATGATACGTAAATAATACAAAGCAAAAAAGAAGCATAAAAGATTTAACTCTTTGATGTTACCTTCCATATAATAATGAATCTTTAAAAATGGTATAAAAAATCAGTAATTTAATCGTATGCCTAAGTAACCAAATTATGTATAAAACTAAGTGCAACTAACAATAGGAATACAGACTGAAAATCAAACATGTTTCCAACGCCAATATCTGGTACAAGTAAATTCTGAAGAATTATGAAAATTCACAAAGAAGAATATTGGTATTCTATAGAAATATGACCGTTTTGGTAGCACTTGGGTCTCGAGGCATCTTTCTTTCAGTCAAGTAAAGCATTGAGGCCCATGCAACAAGCTGATTGTTGGTACTGCAATAGGCAGTGATACAAAGCAATAGAATAAAGGACACGTGCGGTGAGTCGATCAACTAAAAAATTAAAGCTCATTAGACTCATTAGTCATTACACAAGGAAGTGCTTTATATACAAAAGGACAGAAGATGTAAATTTTAAGATACTGAAAATTACGTTGCACGTAATTGAAAAATGCAGTGAAAACAAGTAGAATTTTATGGGATTAAAACCAGATGAATGCACAAAATCATGAAGCTATGGGAATTAGGAAAGTGAGTCTTCAAGACAGTAAAAGTAAGATTTGTAGACACGCATATGACTGTTTCATTGCACTGACATAGGATATATGTATGTTAGACACTCCGATGACCAAAAAAACAAGGATGCGTATGTCGTTCTTTTTGGAGTATCACAAATATGTATAGGCCTTTTTAGTAGTATATGGAAGGGCCGTTTTAGTAAAACTTTTAGTTTCTGCCAAAGGGGAGTATCATACTGCATCTTAAAATTTTCCCAAGGTGATCATCATTACATGCAAGTTTGTGACACTAAAGGGCGTAGATGTTGTGTCAAAGTATGTTAACCATGGCAATTTTTGGCTGTGGTATAATAATTAGATTAAAGCATGTTATGTATTACCATGGTAGAAATCCAGCATAATTGCTACAGCTATATGCATGTGTACTAATGAACTCTGCATGTTAACTATTATAAAACGTGGAGACAACTAATTACAATACAAAAGGGAACAGACCCAATACCATCACGTGTCCAATTTATTCGGCACCTCGAGCAATGAATTAGGTCAAACGCCTGACTTGGATATCGCAACCGATGGGTAGCAAAAGCTGCAACCATTGCAGGTACACCACGTTCAAGAGCAAATTGTATCTGATTTTCATGAACATCTTTTGGTGCTATTGACATGGTGATCACATTCCGTGACAGCAAAAATGCACCAAAACTTGCAACCCCACATCCAACATCTAGGGCCACTCTTGTACGTTGACCAAATGAAATATCAGGAACCATCTGCACGTACAGTTAGACAAAATATTATTTTTTTCCTTTTTTGAGAAAGAGAGAAAATATTGCTATCAGAGAGAAACAACATTGATAGACATGGGTATATATATGAATCAGAGTGCAAATACAAGAAACCTGAGAGATTTGATCCAAATATTGATTTGCTCCATGAATAAATTGTGTTCCACCTCCAGGGAATTTAAATTTCTCTTTTTGCCTTGAAATCCAAATTTGCCCTCCTTTATCTTCAACCAAGCGTGTGTGTGGTACATTGCTAGACCATACCTGCATAGGAGTTTGATGCCAATCAAAGATTATCTCTCAGAAAATAAGAGAGAAAATAAGATTGCAAAAGACCTTTTCAATGTGCATTTAAAGAATTCATGGAGTGACTTAGTTTGCTTACAAGCAGGGCCTGTTGAAGGTATAGGAAGTAGATACAATGAGATTTCAATCACAGAACCAGGGTAATGAATTGAACTCAACATGCAACATTTTGCACTTGTAAAACCATTTAGCCTACAACGTGGAACCCACTGGAATTCCTAACATTGGTATGAGCACAAAATCACATGATTAAATCATCTAGTACTAACATGCTAAGAAACCTCACAGCTTTTCCGTCATTTGATTACTTCGTCCTTTTCAACAATGAGACTAGAGCAACTGTTAGCTAAGGATCACCAACCAGATTTTTGATATACATGCATTAAGATGTTTAAATGATTCGCATGTCATTCATGCTTTCCACTAAAAGAGACAACTGCACTGGGCGCAACAAACATAAAAACAATAGTTAAAAGGTATTGGTGACTTTGTTTTCTGAGTATGTTTGGTAACTGGTCAAAGTGACCTATAATCCACTTTGTGGCCTATAAGTCACCAAGACATGTTTGGCAAACAGCTTATTTTGGCTTATAAGCCTGAAAAAATAAGCTGGAGTAACTCAACTTATTTTTGGTGGCTTATGAGCCACATAGTTTGACCGAGTAAAAGACCAACTTTACCCCTTAGCATTAAATTTTTTTTCCAAAGCCCTCTTTCTCTATCTCCAACCCCTTTTTGGGTCATTTTGACAACAATGATGGATTATAAGCCACTCATTTGCCAAACACTACCATCGGAAATGGATTATAATCCACTTAGTTTATCAAACAGTTTGGATTATAATCCACTTGACTATAAGCCATTTGTGGATTATAAGCCAAGCGGCTTATAATCCAATGTTGCCAACCATTCTCTAAGATAAGTTCATGTTAACTATCTGGTAAAAAAAATGCAACTCAAAGAAAGCATATGCCATCATCCTGTTCTTATCTTATGTCATGCATTCTGACTAATATCAAGTTCAAGATGGCAGCTAAATCTAAAAATGCCTCTTCAACAGGAACAAAGCAAAGGAAGCTAAGGCCAAAGTCTTAGTAACTGAAACCTCATCTCTACTCCTTGGCCAAGGGATTGGAACCTTGTAACCCTTGGGCGGCAGAATCAAGCAATCCAGCCCTCTCATCGGGCAATGCCTCTCAAACCTCTCCCCTCTCTCCATCGACTTCAGTTTCTTGATCTCCTCCACATTGTCCAGGCACGGAATATACTCCCGCATCCTCCCATCACAAAATCCATACTTCCTAACCCTAACCCTAACTCTAACCCCATTCTCCTCGCTCCTCCTACCAGTCTCGTTCTCAGTATCCGATTTCTCGACCAGATCGGGGTCGAACTCACCGACGTCGAAGTCGTCACTCATCGCGCCGTTCTCGTCGACTATACCGAACTTCGAAGGCGGAGGGGGAGGCGACGGCGGTGGCGGAGGAGGAGGCGGTGGTAGGACAGGCGGAGATCGCGGCGAAACCCTAGGAGGGGTTAGGGTTAGAGTTAGGGCTGAGATGTTGAAGGTCAGCGCACGGGCCGGTGGGAGTATCGGAAGGGGCGGAGGTAGGCGATTTACGGGGCAGCATCTCCGTTCTGCCGCCACGCTCGCCGCGTCAGCGGAGGCGGCCGGTCTGGAGGAGTAGAAGAGGAGGGTTTGGGAGTTGGAGAAGTGCTTGCCGATGTAGAAGGAGGCGACGGAGGCGAATAAGAGGACGGCGATCTTGACGATGTGCGGGGTTTTGAGGAATTCGATCGAGTCGTTGATGAGCTTCATTTTTCTTTTCTTTTTTGCCTTTTTCTTTTTTCCCCCTTAATTTTTTTGGGATCGTCGAGACTCGAGAGTAGTTAAATAGCGGGAAGAATTGGCTTAAATACTGAGAATTTTATATAATTTATTTATTATTTATTATTTATTTATCTCAAATATGTGCCTGGTTAGCATAGAAAATACTTGTTAAAAAGAAATCAATCAAATTCTAAAATTGAAATATAAAACGTTATTCATGTGTGCCCTTACGTAACGGTCAAATATGAACTTTTAACGTTTTTTACTACCAACTAAGAAAAGAGCACCCATGATAAAGTCAACGTAAAATGACATTTTGCATAAATACGTTAGGAATAATTATTCAAGAGTATGCATCTCTTATTATATGGATATATATAAGTAAAATATTATTTCTTGTGCTATCTAATTATCATAAAATATATAAAAATTGAATAACATAGATTTAAGAATAAGTTTAAGCTAATTTTCTAGCACTTTGGAATTAGTAAAAGAAATTTGAAATCGGATGAAATTCTAGGACACTGGTAAAATGCGTATGTAGCGTTCTTATTTGTGAATCTGTATCGAGACATCATAAGAATATAAATCATAAATGTACATTATCTCGGAAAAGAATCTAAATGCGTACATAAGTAAATACATTTTTTTTCCTTCGGTCGTTCAGAGAATCCATTTTCGTGCACCATAAGTCTCGTCCCGTAAATCAAAATTTCGAAAGAGAGATCATAGAGTGAGCAATACCTACTAACCTTATCAGCCTTCGTTCCCCCTTACTTACACCTTCCAAACATAAAAAATCCAAAAAAAACCAATCTCATTAAAATCCACCGTCAATTCCACACCCTACGGCTGTGATCACCCCGCCATCAATTTCATCCCCGTCATCTCTATAAATACCCTCCAACCTCTTTTTCTCTCTTTCAAGATTCAAAAAGGAAAAAAGAAAAAGAAAAAGAAAAAAGAATCCAAAATTCCAAAAACGACCCTCTTTCTTTCTCACCGTCTTCTCCTCTACAATCGAAAACCCTAATTCTCCCCCAAATCCCTCAAAAGTAGGGATTTGCCAAGAAATCAACGGGAAATTCTAGGGCTTTGAATGCAATGGGGAAGGAACTCATCGCCAATTCTCGGTCTCGATCAGTGTGCGAGACCGTGAACGGATCGCATCAATTCACGATCAAGGGCTACTCTCTGGCCAAAGGAATGAGCGCCGGAAAATTCATCTCCAGCGACGTCTTCGACGTCGGGGGGCATCAATGGGCGATCTATTTCTATCCCGACGGCAAGAATCCCGAGGACAATTCGATGTATGTGTCGGTTTTCGTCGCGCTGGCGAGCGAAGGGACGGATGTTAGGGCTCTGTTTGAGCTGACGCTGGTTGATCAGAGTGGGAAGGGGAAGGACAAGGTTCATAGTCATTTCGACAGGGCGATGGATAGCGGGCCCTACACGCTCAAGTATCGGGGGAGCATGTGGTAATTTCTTGTTTTTAGTCTTTAAGATTTGATCTTGTGATGTTTTGATGCTTTCTTTTGTTGGTTTCTTACTGTGAATTGAGTAAAGTTGGTTTCTTATAAACCTTGAAGGCTCTTTTTTTTTATTAAATTCCTACTAGGCAACAGTTATGAACAGAATCCAGTCATTTGGTAGTGTGAATTAGAATATGAAGATTTGAGGGGCTAATATACAATTAAGACAGAATTTAGGGTCTAACACGACGGAATGTCGTTTTACGAAGCGCATGAGCCACGAGGGGTATGTGAATTGTTTGTTGCACATCGGAAATGGTAGGATTTATGCTTTTCTTTGTGTAGATTTAGTCTACTTCTTTCGTTCTTTGAGATATGTTTTTAGTTCTTTTGTCAAAAAGAAGGAAGCTGTAAGTTTGACATGATGTGCATATTTATTAAAAAAAAATTCTCAACAGGGTATTGTGTCTTGGTAATTTCCTTATTATAGCTTGGCCCTCTAGGTTTAAGAGAAAACTTCATGTTTACCAATCTCTCGAATTGGTAGTTGGAAAATGATTACTTGTTGTATGTGTTCTTCACGTATCAAACTTTAGTATATTACTCTCTTAAAATATTGGGATTATAGACAAATAGATTGGATAGCAAACCAGGAGCGATTTGAGATTTTGCAAGTGGGGTTTTGTTGTGTATGTGGGAGCCCCCCCACCCCCAACACACACACACACACAAAAAAAAAACCACGTGAAGGGAGAAAGGGAAGGGATGGTGTAGGGTGCAGGCGGGAGGCAATGTTGGAAGAATTAGAACAGATTTGTCAGTTGGATCATTTTTGGCCTAAAGGAAGCAAAAAGCGTAAACCAGAATGTTCATATTTAACCACATTAACCAAGTGATCGAGGTTCATTTGGACCAGCCAATTAAGTAAATGTGTATCTTTCTGTGTAAAAGAGAGATGTTGCATGAGATAGATTCATGGACCAGCCCATTTAGCAATTGATTTTTTTAATGTAGTAAATATACAAGGAGGGATCCCAGTAAGAGAATATGAACAAAAGAAAAAAATCAATATGGTAACTTTGTTATACATCAGTCACCAGTGCATAATGCATTAATAGTTTGTACACTAAATCAATATACTATACTGAATTGCGTGAAAAAGTGTGTGCATGTGCTTAGTGCATGGGGAAAAACAGAAAAAAGGGAAAATAAAATCTTTAGATTCATAATACTAATAGGATAACATAAGGATTAACAGATGATTGTCAAATTTATGATTTTCTTCTTTTAACCAATATTAAAACCATGCAAGCAGAGTGAGTTCTGAATTTTCTCATAGAAAGAACAAGATCAACATAAAAACAAAAAGAATTTTGCATAAAAGATATCATGTTGCTGCTGTTTTGGGTCAGAGCTGAAAATAAATATTTTCTTAAAAAATATAATAAAAACAGCATTACAGGGGAAAAAACAATTGTGTGCTATTATTATATGAGGCTATATCACGTGGCCATGGCAAGTGGCATAATAAGGTTATTCTTCTTGCCAAACACATCTGCATGCAACAGTGATCTTGCTAGTTGGTAATTTATTTTTTTCTTTGCATTTATGTTACTACTTCATATGGTGATTTTTGTTAAAATCTCTCTAACAGCATGTAATTGTGCTATGTTGATCCCTGAAAGTTTCTGCCCCAAAAGCTCAATATGAAAAGTAGTTATAGAAGAAACATACGCATTGAATGATGTTTATGAGCAATATCCGTTCAGTGCTTTTGGTTAATTACCTCAGAGATTGTGGTTAGATAGTTAATAGCGTGTTCTTACTTCTCTTTACATCAAGTTGTTTAGCATATTTATTTTACATCCTTTCTTTTTCATAATTAGATAAACTAAGAGAGAGTGTACTTCATCTTGTTTCTTTCCTTTTTTTTTACATCCCAGAAAATGTGCTAAATTCTTCTTCTTTATTGTTAAGCTCCAAGAAGGTAAGTTCTATTAATACTCGAGTTGCTTCTGTATTATTTATGTTTGTTTCTTTCAAGTGTTTGTGCTTTAACCACATTCATTAAGCATTTTTGGCACCAATGTAAAAAAGATTTCTTCTTCTTTTTTTCAGACTCTTACATTTGTCATTGGTTAATTGCATATTTGTAGGGGCTACAAGCGGTTTTTTAGGAGAACATCCTTAGAAACATCCGACTTTCTTAAGGATGATTGCTTGGTCATGAAGTGCACTGTGGGTGTTGTTAGAAGCCGGATTGAAAAACAAAGACAATTAACCATTTCCGTGCCACCATCAGACTTGGGTCATTGTCTCGAAGGATTACTGAAATCCGGTATGGGTTCGGACATCATCTTTGAAGTTGATGATGAGACATTCAAAGCCCATAAGTTGATACTTGCTGCTCGTTCACCAGTGTTTAAGGCCCAGTTCTTTGGCCTTATCGGTGACCCAGACATTGACAAAATTGTTGTTCAAGATGTAGAGCCTCCTGTGTTCAAGGTAATTATGCAACTTATTAGTTCGTACTATTTATATCTTGTCATTTGTTACAATTTAATATTGCGACACATATTTGGTGGTGATAATCAGAATATGAGAATTTTTTTCCCCTAGCGTTATCTTTTGTTAGAGTACAACACCTGCATTTCAAATTATTTAAACTCACATGATCTTGCATTAAGATCCTAAAGCTATGCTTTATATAAATCTAGGACAATGTTAGAGATGCTGAAATCATAAGTTCTTAAACAGTCATTTTTCTTTCTATTCACTATACTGCTTGTGAAAGCTCATGTACCCTAAAAAGTTATTAATTATCAACGTCAGCCCAGTACTTTTTAGTGTGGAGGTCGAAAGGTTTAGTGTGAAAAAAATTGAACATATTTAGATCGTATTAATAGCTTATGAACGCTCATGTGATGATTTGCTCCATTGTGTGGAGTGCACGTGTTATTGGGCAACATCAGACTCCAAGTTGTATCTTCACATTTGCTTAGAAAGATGCACAATGATCCACAATGTTTCCTCTGATACATAGGATGATGGTGTTTGCCGGACATCTACAAATGCTATTATGTTATTTATATCTTTGTATTCACTCTAGGTATTTTTATTCGTCACTTTTTGTTCACATCTCCCCTTTCTGATTGAGGTTTTTTACCTTGTTTCAGGCGATGCTTTTATTTATGTACTCAGATGTATTTCCCGATTTTCATGAAATGACTGAATCAGTCTCAATGTCAACGGCAACAAACTTGGTGCAGCATTTGTTGGCTGCTGCCGACCAATATGGATTAGAACGTCTAAAATTATTATGTGAAGCAAAATTGTGCAAACAAGTCACTTCTGACACTGTGGTGTCAACGATAGCCCTGGCTGAGCAATACCATTGTTCTCATTTGAAATCCGTCTGTTTAAAGTTCGCTGCAGCTCCGGAAAACCTTTGTGGTTAGTACTATTTCTAGTATTATAGCTATTGTATTCTTCATGTTTCATCAATAGTATATAAATTCTCTCAATGTGCTAATATACACCTCTAGAATATTGAAGAGCACGATAGATGATCACACTCTATATTGAGATCTAACTTGCATTGATTTATGGATAGCAACAACTACCATAACAAAGCCTTTATCCCAAAGTTTTGGGGTCAGTTACGTGAATCATCCATTCAGTTCTGTTGAGGACCATCTCCCAACTAAATTAGGCATTGTCATGTTCTTCTTATTAGTTTCTAAACAAGTTCTCAGGTGTACGTCTAGTCTTTTTTTTCCAATAATTATAATCTTATCAAATTTTGTGGATGCAAGCACACTGCTTAAGCCTTTCAAGGAACATTTTTTATCAGTTATTTTACTAATTGTTGCAAATGCAATCATAGGTTTAAGCATGATATGGACTAGTTCTGTAGAAAGAAGCTTTATGGTGTTCCATGGATTTCAACATTCAAAAGTCGGTTGTTGTTATTTAGGCATGTCTCGAGATTGCTGTTCTTTTTTATTTGTTGCTGACATTAAGGAACAATGGTCTGATTCGCAAAAATTTTCGAGTATCTTGGAATTTATTCCAGTCACCTGCTGCATTGCTTAGATGTACAAATTGCTTTGTAACTACAATAATTCTTGAACAGTTCTGTTGTAGTTTCCCCCTCATCAAAAGAAATTCTTAAGATACATATTGGAACCGCCAGCAAGAAAATTTGAAGGGTATCTTGGATCTAAAGCCCCCCCTGTTTATTAGCATACATCATTATGTACACGCTTCAATTCCCTCCTCTGTGTTTGGTTCACCTGAAAAAAATCGAAGCAGATAAATGCAAATTGGAACCTGCAGCAAGAAAAATGTAGGGTCATCTTGGACCTCAAGAATAGCCAAATATTTTGATAAGCCGCATCGTGATTACTGATGAAACTAGGATGTTAATGTTTGATCCGCTAAAGTTTCTCTTTTGCAATTTTTTTTCTCATATACAAAGGCTCCCTGGTCATTCTTTTTGCAGCTGTGCTGCAGACTGAAGAGTTTGGGCACCTAAAACAAGCATGCCCGACGCTGCTAACCGATATTCTTGCGACTGTTGCTGAGGTGGACGATGATCAGAATCCAGTCAGGCAAAAGAGGAACAGTAGCAGCAATATAGGCCTGAATATTTTCGATGGTGTTGATTCAAGTGGCAGGAGAATGCGGAGACGGCTATAGTTAGCAGTTTGTCCTGTAACATCTTATATTTTTAGCTGTTTCAATGCTCTGTGTAACTTGATTTTCGCCATTTGATGCAATTTGAAGTGAACAGCTAGTGAAATAAGTTCCCTTTTCCTTTTTTCTTTCCTTCTTTTTTTTTAAATTCTATTGGGGTTTCGGTTAAATATTTGTCTTTCCCCCTCATGCCTAGTGTTTTAGTGCTGTTACCGCGAAGAACTAAGCATTACTGTGCTTTCAATTATTTTCTATATGTCCTCACATAGGCCTGTCCATTCGGCCCGGCCCGAATATCCGGGCCTAGGCTGGGCAAAACCGAAGCCCGGACCCGGTACCCCGGGCCGGGTTCCGACCGGGCCGGGCCGGTTTCTTTTCTTTTTTAAATTTTATTTAAAATTTAAATTATAAAAAAATAACAAGAAAAATTAATAAAAAACAATAATTTTATTAATCACTTAAAATAACATAAATTACAAATAAAAAATGATAAAAACAAATTCTTTATTAATAATTAATAAATCATTTATAAATTACAAGTACAAATTTATTTTGGAATTCATCGCATCACAATAGATAAGTATATTCCAACTAGGTTGGCACTTACTCACCTATATCACTATCATTTGTAACTATTTCTAAAATATTTTTTTACAAATTTTAAGTTATGATATAAAAATTACAATTTGATTAATATTATTTATTCTTTATATCTATCTGCTAGTCCCAATTCTTCAAATTTATCTTCAATTCCAGCCATCCGATCGATGCCTTGCGTTCGCTTCTCGTACCTCCACCAATCTTGTAAGCACATCATCGCTTGTATAGTATACAGATCTAATCATGTCCTGTGGTCATCGATCAAACGTCCTGCTGTGCTGAAGGCGGAGTCCGAAGCTACCGTCGAAACCTGTACTGTTAGTAAGTCACGAACCATGGTGGAAAGTATAGGATATGAAAATGATCCATATACTTTCCACCATTGCAAAATATCTAAAGCATTTTCTTGATATTTAACTAAAGAAGCAGTGTAAGGACCGTGATTTTTGATACTGGTTTAAGTACTTCTTCTGATATTTTAAAATATTTAATTATTATTTTTAAAAGTGTATTTTTATTTTTCTCGATTTTCTACAATTTTCTATGATTTAAAAACCTGATTATATATTTATTGAAATGATTTTGATATTTATAAATTTATTTTATACAGTAAAAAATTTCTAGAATTAATTTGTTGAGTTATCAGTACTATTACGTAATATTTTAAATAATATATTGTATTATTAATATTATTACAAATTATTTCATATAATACACAGTATTATTAATTACGTATTTTTGGTATAATTTATTGTATTATTTCTATTGTTACATATTATCTATCGTATTAGTATAACTAGTACGTTTTACTGTGTATATAATTATCCCATAATTATTTGATTTTAAATATAAGTAGAAATATTTTTATTATTATTTATTCTTGTTTAATTATACAATATGGGTATTTTT